GAAGTGTAAACTTGTTTAATAAACCATATCTTTCATTTTCGATTTTTAATTCACGTAGTCCGGGAACTTTCCGGACAAACTGTGTATATTGATCTCCCTAACGGAATATCCTGCAATTGACGACGACGAGGAAGGTTCAACGTCACATGCAATTCTTTCGACTAAAAGGGGAGAGAGAGAGAGAGACTTAAAGGAGATAGGAATGAATTGTTCACTCGTGTTTGGGGAGTGGAACTTCCTAAGTGTCGCACAGTTAAATGAATTGTGGCATCATCTTGTAGAAATTTATCAAACTTATCAAATGACTTACGTAAATGACAAAAAATAAACTGGATTATTTTTATATTTTTATGTTGCTCGTTCATTACAAACGGAGAGAGAAGCTTTCGTGTTAATTGAGCGCGCGAATTAGTCGAATACACGTTACTTTGGATAATTGCAGCCTCGCTCTATGAAACTGTCAAGTCGCTGTCGTATTAGAACACGATCGCATTCAATTACGACGAGTCGCGTATCGGACAAGCGTTCGATCATTCATTACAAAGCGCCGACCGAATTTTATTCAATCGGCCAGTGTGTGCGGTAAAGACGAGCATAAGCTTTCTATTTTCCCGTTTGTGCAAAACTAAAGTGTGACGTGCGTTATGAGATGCTGCAGGCGCGGCGTCGTTATTGTCACAGACTGTCGGCAAAAGACAATGGACATGGCGAAGTATACAATCTGTTGCGACGTATACCAGTTATATACGTGACGATACAACAGTTTGCAGCGCGCACAAAAGCCAGGTGCTAAACCTATACTCGTTTAAAACCCTTGTGCCAATTTACCGATTTCCTACTTGGTCTACATGTTCCGCTTTGTCATCACTCTTGGTGTTTCCCTTCCCAGATACGTGCAGTCTCGCGTTTACGCACAGACTTCTACATTATGCACTAGACTGCTATTGTTCCCTGTATATAAAAGTGGCGCCTACACGCTGAGAATAAAAACTGATCAATCGAGAGGCTCCTTCAAGTTACGAATGAGATGACCATACGAGACAAACCTTTTTTGGTGTACTCACCACTGAAATAATGATTATTATCGAAACTTATTTCTCTATGTCACCTAAATGTCTATATTATCTTTCTCTATCTATTCTTTTTTAATTTAATCACCGGTCGTCGCCGCAGCAACTTCTATTTCTGTTTCGACGAGAAGACGAAGTCGATTTTTCGAAAGTACATCGTGCGCGTAAGTATTTTACAATTGTGTTGCCATTGTCATTCTTAATGACGCAGAACCTACAAACTCTTTGTAAAATATTTATTGCGATAAATGTTGACAGTAACAGACCCAGCCCCGACAACCTTGACACATTCTAAGGTTATTTCTTGAACTTTGTTCAATATACTATTTAACATTTGAAGTGCATTTTAAAATGCGCGTTAGCATTGAGTAAAGTAAATCAATAACAAACATTCAAAAATTACGCAAAAACAATGATCATGCTTTATCATTTATGTTTTCACGTAATAAACACCGTTGTAATAAAAAACACGTGAAGAAAATTCGCGGTGAAGGTCGTCCCACGCAGAGTTTCACGGTAGTAATTACATTAAACTACAGAAATTGTGTATTTTTTTCGCTACCTGCCACCGTGTGTATGCGTGTGTGAATATTAGTCATTTAGCCACGTGCTGCTTGGTATAGATATATTACATTATTCAAAAAGCACAAAGTGCGCTATCAATATTCAAGCAGTTCATTCGTACAGGTCATTCAAAAAAAGTTGCAAGTTGTAGTGACTGTTGACTGTATATTTAACAAAGCATAAATACAGGAGCTAATAGTGATTGTTGAGCATTAAATAATAACGATTGGACAAGACGTATATACGACTGGATAAGAAAAATACGTGCAATACTGTGACAATATTGCTTGTGTTATTCTTCCAATATGGGTTTAGAAGAAAGTTACGACCAGTTAATGGGAGAATCAGAAAGTGAGTTTTTTATTATATTCTTTTTTATAATAGAATTACACTAAATTTTTATTACGTAGTATTCAGAAGATGTTTGATGAGATACAGATTAATATAGAAAGCCTGCTTCAAAACTTAAATCGTAAGGTTTTATTAACAAAAGTAAAGTCTTTGCAAACTTTATTATTCATCAACTCAAAATTATTATATCTTAAAACTTACACTCCAGTTTTAAAAATAAAATCAATCTAATAGCCACAGTACACTTATAATTGATAGCTACAAGTGTTTTACTTTGCCTTTTATTCTAAAATTTTCCAACGATATTGTTCTTTAAAAAGAGCAAGCATGAATTTTAGGTTTTCTTCCAGAAATCTGGACACTACTAGAATTAAAGTTCATAAAAATAAATTAGATCATGGTTCAAACAGTAATGTAATATATAAGTTAAATTATGTTTTTTGTGATGTATCATACGTTAATCAAACAAGTAAACAATGATACACAAGAATTTCGGAACATCAATGAAATTTTTACTTGAAATATGACCGCCATTCTGTAAGCATCGCACATCAATAATTTGATTTTCTATGATTTTCAATAAAAAATAATATAAAATTTCTCGATATTGAAAAATATTTGCCATAGGAGATTGACTTCTAAAATGTTATACAAATTAAAATGCAAAAACGTCAATTTGATGAAAAAATTATTTGATTCGGTATAATTTTTCATTGATTAATAAGATAAATAAATCACCGTATTTGTGTTCTTTGAATCTGCTCGCACTTTTTCTTTTGTCTAAACTTGCGATATTCCGGAGTTTCTCTCACACTTTTATTTTACATATGTTGTGTCAAAAAGTAATATTTTTTTATTGTACTTACTTTTATTGTACTTTATTGTGATTTGATAATTAGAGACGGTCAACGGTATTCAGTTTATGATCCAATAATAAGTACTTAGTTTGTTTATTATTTATTAAATAAGTTTTAACTTAATTTTTTTTTAATGTCCATTAAAGTGTTTTAACTTTTTAAATTTATTTTTGACTATGACATTTTTATAAATTTGACTTTTTACTTGACTCCTTAATTTTAAGTTTTTCTTTTTAACTGTTTTAGTTTTGACATTTCTTATGTGTATTAATTTATTTCTGTACATGAACTTCTCCAGATAGCTTTATAAAACAATATTTTGATTATTACGCTCATTTTGTTGTTTTGATTTTCTCTGAGACTCAAATGCGTCTGTTGACACGAGGACACAATTTTCAAGTTAATATGTAAAGTGTGTAAAGTCAAAATCACTTTCAATTTTTAATTATATTACAGACCATGTTTATTTTTGTAAAACATTATTTATAGACAAATGTGTATTTGTATTATTTATATAAGTTGGCTGAGGATGATTAAAATAAAATGATCAAAACGTTTTATTTACGTTTAGAAATATAAATTTAATTTTACTAATCACTGTTATCACAGTAAACCATAGCTGTAAGTTTGTTTTTAAATTTCTTATAAGCTTGTCGTTTGATTTATATTGCAATTTTATTTGCAGTTCTCCCAACTGCTAAATGGCCATTAATACATAATCCTGTTCTGATAGTACTCATAACTATTGGATATTTATATTTTATTTTATACGCTGGCCCTTGTTACATGAAGGATCGACCGCCTTTTAAATTAAAAACTTTTATGTTGTTTTATGATGTAATTCAAATTCTCGCGAATGCGTGGATAATAAAGGAGTTTATAGCTGCCGGTTGGTTCACAATATATGGTATACAATGTACTTTACCAGATTCTAACTCGCCCAGTGCTTTGCACGTATGTTTTACAATAATTATGTTTGTTAAATTATTATGATATTTATAATATTTATTTATTACATATAATTATTATTACATATAATTATTTATTACATATAATTATTAT